AATGAAGGGAACTGGAATGACAGAAGCAGCCTTCTCAGACCCAGCTTGATCAATTGTGTCAAAAAGGTTCTTCTATTATTATGCAGGAGGCTCAAAAAAGGATCGATAGTTCTCCTCTAGTATTCACAAGCTGAAAATTAGTTTATTTTCACTTTGCAGTTTAATTAACCACAGAAACTTCCAGCTGGTTAATTCCATTTTTTTGTAAAGGTGATTCTGCCAAGCCAAACATCTAATCTGCTCTAGCTGAACTCCAACCCATCTCGTGTATCAGCAAGGTTTACCTGGTGAAGACTACTGGGAGAGAAGTAACCCTTCATTTTTTGAAATTTAATCTTACTTGTGTCTTAGTAAGTTATATCATTCAGGAAAAAAAAAAAAAAAAAAAAAAAAAACTGTATGTAACTGTGAAAACTACTCTCCAGATTTCATTTCAAGTCCTGGACACTATGTTTCCTGGACTGTTTGTTTAATGAGGCACACATCTGAATAGTTAAATCAGTATCACTTTGATAGCCCAATCCTTCATAAGCTTATGTTTCATTACAGATTGTACATGTGCTGAATTCTTGACTAATGACCATGTAACAGGGCATGTTCAATTATTCTCTTTGGGTTTTAGAAAGAAACAGGAAGTTTGGCTATAAACAATGCAGTCATAGAATAGATTTCACCACAGTAATTTCATCTGAAAAATATGCATTCTTTACAACACAGCCAGATATGGCATTGAGAACCAACATCCTGCTGCACTCAGTTTGTTTTTTTTTTTTTTAATTTTGTTGTTTGTTTTTTTTTATTAATACTTAGGCAATATAAGAAAAAAACCTTTTAGTTAATACTGGATGTTTTGTGACAAGCGTTACTTGAAAGATGTGGATCATGAATCAAAAGCAGCTGCTAGAAACCACAGGATAAATAACAAGTTTGCTAAATTTAGTATATGTTATGAAATACATAGAGTGGAGGAAGAGTCAGCTGTTGTAAATTTTTATCAGCTGGGAAAGAACTACTATTGAATATTTCACTCTTTACTTATAAAATAAAGATGACAGACATTAAATAATGACAAAATATTTAATACGACAATGTCAGTTGATCTATGCTAAATTTAAGACTAAAATACATCTAATTTTTGGTTACATTTCTGCTTTTAACTCTCTTTAATAATCTACAAAAATATCCACCTAAACTGTAGCATTAATGAAATAAGAACAACTACTATTCTCTGGCTTCTAATTGTGCCTAGAAAAAGCACAATATTATTATTACTACACTGCATATTTTAATGATTCTATAAATAGGGTAACATTTCAACTCCAGAATTAAACAGAGTACACTTGGATTATTAAAAGCATTTTCTTAAAATAATCAATAATGTTACAGATCTTCACTAAAATAGCAAAAAAATTACTTAGCCATCTATCTAATCTTAAATAAAACCTTGGCATTAAGTCTATTAAACTTAGTTATTTTTTAATTTTCATGTCAGAAAGAAAATGTTTAAAAACATAACAATGACAGTCTGCAATTACAGATTGGATTAGGTTTTCCCTAGGTTCTAGCTCCTAAAGATTCCAAGTATTATGTCATAGCAGAGATTCTGTGAAGTACTTTACATCAAATGGGAAACAAAATGTCTATTTTTGAAAGACTGAGGTTGCCCAAAAATAATTAAATACATGTTTAAAAACAAACACTGCCAAGTAGCTGACACCCAAAATCTGACCTACCTAAAAACTGAAGAATTATTCTACCACGTTTAAAATCTCGCTATTTACACCCACACAAATCTTGCCAATAAATGCACTTACAGAAATATGTATATACATTACAGCATACTTGTACATATTTGTCCTGTGCTGGCCTGATAGAGCTGGCCAGCAGAGGGAGCAGACATTAATAAACCTTTCTCCTAAAACAAAGATGAGAATCATTCATGCTATGTCAAACACAGAAGTAAATGAAAGGAACACCATCTTGTCTGTCCAATAAAAAAATCCCATGTGGTGGAGAAAAAGAAATTCTATGAAATGTTTTGGGTTGTGGGTCCTGTCCCCCCGCCCCCGCAAAGCAGATAAAAATAACCAAAACCCACAAACATATACATTGAGCTTACCTTCGCACAAAAATATATGCATTTCTGTATGATGGGAAAATATATCCTTACCAGAAGCAGCAAAATATTTTCTAAAGTTGCCCTTTATAATACTAATCTATTGTTTCTAGACATCTTTTTCTGCATTTTTGTTAATTATTGTAAAGTTTTTACCTGCAGGTTAATCTCTGCTTCATAGAAAGTTAAGCAGGAGCAGTAATGCCTCTCTGAGTCTATGTCAGTCAAAACCACCACAAAGAACGTTGGCTGTTTTCTCTCTTTCGAAAGCTGCCATCCTCCAGGCTGGCAAAACTAATGAAACAAAAAAAAAAAAAAAAAGGGACATATAGTTAAGCAGTAATATAAATTGTTTTAAGAAATAGGAAAAATATTTTTAAACAATGTAACAGAACATTATCTAAAACAAGAATCTCATTTCATTTAAAATCAACATAGGCAGGGTTGCACAATTTGGAGAAAATGGGAAAAATCCAACAGGTCTTGGAGTTAGTCAGACTGATACAAATGTAGCTCTATAGACATGAAGGGAGATATAATAAACTCCACAAACTGAAGATGTATACCTTTGAATTCAGTATTCAAGATCACCTTTGCAGGATTTAACAGGCCAACATCAGGAATACATTGACACGTTATGCGGGTTTCATTTGGATAACAGGTTAGAATTTGAAGCTAAAATTGTTGTGTCTTGGAATGTCTCTACATTTTTAATTTCTCCATTAATTTATCTAATCAAACATAAACATTCCACTTACACCTCCTTGCAAAGTTATTCAATACTTACTCCTACAAAAGACTATTTATAGAGCAATATTTTTCATCCATTTATTGGTTACCTCTATAAACTTCACTGTGGACATCTGAAATTTTGTAAGAGGTCATACCATAGCAGGGATATAAAATGTGAAAAACACATTCAAGTTTTGTGACTTCATACGTCTCAGGGACAAAGAAAGGCACTTGCTTCTTGGACTCACAGAGGCTGCAGTTCTGCAAATACTTCGTATGTACTTAGAATACTACATGTTTCCAAGCTCTTGCAGCAATGAGCAGACTAAATATGTGCAATACTTAAAACACACGTCAAATAAGCCTAAGTCTTTTCAGTATTTGCTCCTTCAAGCTGACCAGGGCCATGGCAGTGCAAATCACCAGAACCAAAGACAGCAATTCCAACCTGAGAACAGAGATGCACGAGCAGCATGAACAAAAAGAGAACTACAGCTCAAAAGCAAAGGGAAAAATGTATGTTTTTTCTTCTTTTTTAAACAACTGGTGTGGAACATCGGTTAATAACTTGTTCCCAGTAATGGAAGAGTGTGCTGAAATTCAGCAATCAACCGAAGATGCTGAAGATTCTTGAGATGGCCTTTATGGAATTTTGCATTCACTGTTTCTTTTACTTAAGGCTGAAGTCACATACACAAAAAATTCACAATTACATTATTATTAGCAAAATTCTAAACTTAGAATTTACATGGGGTGAAGGTAGTAGCCCCATACATATCAAGAATTAAAAAAAAAAAAAAAAAAAAAATCCCAAAACCCAAACCAAGGCATTTCTAGAATTGCTGAACAATGCAGATATCAAAGGAACCAGATAGAGAGGTCAAAATCTCATGTTTCCAGCACTTGCTTCTTTCCCTTGGACAGCTGCTAAAATCTGAAAGAGCACAAAGTTGTAAACAAACATTGACTACAGAACCTCTGCAATAAAACCTGAGTAGTCTTAGGTGAATAGCAGTTAAAACTCTGCCTCTGATATACAGTTTATTTTATGATCCTGGGAAAAAATCTTCAAAACCAACGTTTTCTCATGTTACATTCTTCATATTCTAAATAGTCAGCTTAACACTTCTGAGTCTGTATCCTCAGAAGTGCTAAGCACCCCCTCCTGCATCTGAGAATAACTGTTCTGAACATCAAAAAGTACTCTGAGAAAAGACATCCTAGTCATTCCAAGCTAAGCATCCAGTATTAGCCCATGCTTTTGATAATACGGGCCTAATCTCCCTTTTCTTTTTCATCCCACGTCAGTTAACAATAAGATGCCACTATTATCTTTATAGCAGTCCTGTGAGATTAATGTAATATGGTTGATATATACAGACATTATAAAAAAGGATCATTTAGAAGTTTGACAATAAAATCACTAGAGTTCTGTATGTATTGCAGAGTTTAGGTGGTGTGTGGTAAATGAAGCCTGGAATCTGTAGCTCAAACAAGATAAACCCCCCAAACCTCTAAACAGCTATTTGTTCAATGAGTATGAGCCAAAATGCAAAGAATGCAGTAAGATTCTGTTAATAAATAAAACCTTGCATAGAATCACAGAATGCTTTGGGTTGGAAGGGACCTTTAGAGGTCATCTAGCCCAGCCCCCCTGCAGTGAGCAGGGACAGCTTCAACCAGATCAGGTTGCTCAGAGCCCCGTCCAACCTGACCTTGAATGTTGCCAGGGATGGGGCCTCCACTACCTCTCTGGGCAACCTGTTCCAGTGCTTCACCACCCTCATGGTAAAAATTTCTTTCTAATGTCCAGTCTAAATCTATTCTTCTTTAGTTTAAATCTGTTATTCCTTGTCCTGTCACAACAGGCCTTATTAAAAAGATTCTCCCCATCTTTCCTGTAGGCCCCCTTTAAGTACTGGAAGGCCGCAGTAAGGTCTCCTCGCAGCCTTCTCCTCTCCAGGCTGAACAACCCCAACTCTCTCAGCCTGGCCTCACAGGAGAGGTGCTCCAGCCCTCCGATTATTTTGGTGGCCCTCCTCTGGACTTGCTCCAACAGGTCCATGTCCTTCTTGTGCTGAGGGCCCCAGAGCTGGACGCAATGCTCCAGCTGAGGTCTCACCAGAGCAGAGCAGAGGGGCAGAATCACCTCCCTCGACCTGCTGGCCACGCTTCTTTTGATGCAGCCCAGGATACGGTTGGCTTTCTGGGCTGCAAGTGGTATACCATGGTATACCATTAAAACTGAATCATCCATACAAGGTAGGTCAACTTAAGGTTGCTTATGTAGTCTTAGTGCTGGCACTTCTTAAGCTCTGAATGCTTGAGTTTACATTGTTAGCACTCTTTCAGATCTGCCAAGTCTACCTGTTCTGACAGGAGTTCCTTGCTGGTGCCATTGCCCTTTAGCTTTATGGGTAATTTCCCATCTCATACCTGGCAGTAGCAATCTATCAGATTTCTGAGTGTCTGGAATTCCTGGACAAATGACCATTCTGCATGCACCAAAACCACCGTACTAAAGGCACAGAAGAGCTGGTATATCCAGATAATCTGCAAACTATGTATTCTGCACCCAAATGACAAATATGTGAGCTTGGGATGTGTGGCTTATGCACAGCTGTTTTTCACACGATATACAGAGGATCTACCAATTTTGAACTTTGAGGTATTGGTAGGTTCATTTTGAATATACTTTTTGTAGTTATTTTAAAATAAAATGTCTTTTAAAATAACTCTTTTTATTGTAATGGGCCATTATTACCAGGTCTACTGCATAAAATTTATATCAACGTCTGCCCTGTAAACTGGGAAATGCAAAGGGAAAACCAACAGCTAAATTTTTAACTATCACAGGTGACTGTTGATCTGGGCAGGCTGCTCTCAATAGTGATCTCTCGATCTTTATGCATGTCTAAACCCTACTCACGTCAGTGAGAATTCTTCCTGATTTCAAAATGATCTTGTGTATAATGTATGCTTTCTAGATTTAACTATTTTACTAGAAAACAACAGCTAGTGATTGTCAAGGAAAACAGCTGAAGTAGAGTACATCCCCTGGCTACACAAAGAATCTGCGTTTTCAAATAAACTGGAAGGAATTCGTAAATGCAGCAATTGAGGATAAAGACAACATTTTCCTCTAAGAAATTAAACAATGAATGATTCTCAGTTTCCTTAAAATAAGGTAATAAATATTAGTGTAATATTTGAAATGCAAACAACATTGAGAAAAACTTTCCGAATTATTATAAATACAAGCTACTATCCAGTAGTATCTATCCAGTACGATTACCAGCAGAGTCTGGCCACTAAAATGGGAAACATTTCTTTACCAAACCAGATGCTACACCAAAACAGACAAAAGCACCACTGCGAATATAATTCAAAGGTCACGTGCTTCTTCAGTAAACAAGAAAAAAACCCCAGAATTTTAAAAATGAACACACTCCCATATTGTTTCACTTATTTGCCCAAATTCTTGGAACCAGAATATAGCTTCTATCAAAGACACTAAAAATTAGAAAGAATCAGATTGTCCAACTCACTATTTATAGAAAAAAGCCTCTAATGGCGGTGAGTGCTTCAAATCGACTCCACAGCACAACTGACTGCCTTCTAAAATCTAGTGCAAATATCCAGAAGTTGCACTGAAGAGTGTATGTAACAGAGATCTTACATTCAAGGTGTTGAAATGACATTTCAAGCATTGTTTGAAACTGCAGGTGCCCATTGAAGCAAAGAACTTTTTTTTAATTATTCCCACAAATGCTTTCAGACTAAACAAGAAACCAGACAGATTTAAAAATTACACATAGTGGTTTAAAACAGTGTAGCTGGACTTGTTACCTTTAAAAATGTTTTATGTCGTCACTACAAGCCTTCTTTCTGAAGTCTAGACACGATAAATGAATGTTTAAGTGACATTTGTTTCTTCCAATTTTTATAAGCCAAAAACATCATTTTTGCTTGATTCATAAATTTGTTCCTTCTTTCCTACCCAGAGCCATAGCTGTACTCCTACTCCTTGCCTTGTGCTTCTCTATTAAAATGAATTATATGCATAAATCAGCATATACCTTAGATATACTGTATACAGCTTTGGTGTCTAGAATCACAGAATCATAGAATATCCTGAACTAGAAGGGACCAATGAAGATAGAGTCCAACTCCTGATTTCACACAGAGCAACCTAAAAGTTAAACCATTTATCCAAGAGCATTTTCCAAATGCTTCTTTAACACCAACAGGCTTGAGGCCATGACCACTTCCCTGGGGAGCAGCAACAAGTCTGTTGAAAAATTGAAGAAAATGTAAAAATAGTCATAAATTCTATTAAAACACTGGAGGAATTAGGATGTAGGAAGGCTGCTTACTATGGAAGTGAAGACTAAATACTCTTATTAAACTGAACAGTAATTATATAGTGTTTAAGTTTCGTTCAAGAAAAATTTTAGTCATTTGTATCCTTACTATGGCAGAACTATACTATTTGCCCTCTATATCTGTTGATCAGAAATTACTCATTTGCTGAATTGCATGTTAGAACTTTGTCATTTACC